AACCATTTTTGGCTTCCAACATTGTTTTCAAATATCTTAGGTAAAGAATTCAGAAATCAAGCTGGCAGAAAACAGGGTCATTTATAAGGTATATATTTCTAAAACCAACAGAGGACTCCAGATTAGCTTTGGCAAGTTCCCAGACTTTTCTAGGAAAGGATCCTATAGGCAACACTTATTTAATCTCAGGTTCTTCATCTTCCTCCACATTTTCTTACCTTAGCAATCTACCCAGCACCTTCTGCTCCACATTCTCCTGTATTTCCTCATAGAGCAGAGCTTCTTCCATTCACCCAGTTCCTTGTCCCCATATATCATTAATTGAACATTCACTAAGCACTCTACTTTTATAGAGAGATATTAAAAATGAAGTGAACCAGCTTCTGCTCCCTGAAGCTCACAATCTAGTAAGGGGGAAAGATCTACAAAACAAGTAACTACTATACAATGGACGTCAGCACACTTTTTCTGTAAAGGGCCAGACAGTACATACTTTTGGCTTTGCAGGCCATAGTCTCTGAGGCAGCTATTCAGCTCTGCCACGGTAGCACGAAAGCAGCCATTGACACGATGTAAATGAATGAGAGTGGCTGTGTTCCAGTAAAATTTATTTTTACAAAAACAGGCAGTGGGCCAGATTTGGCCTGTGTGCTGTTGTTTGCTAACCTATCTATGGTATACAGCATACTAAATAATATCCCTGGAGCTGAGAGAGCTTGAGAAAAGACCTGCCAGACTACTACCTACCCTTTTACAGGAAATGGCCATCAACCCTTAATTGGACAGCCAAACCAAGGTACAAGAATTCTCCTTGAAACTGGCAGAGCAGTAATCAATTCCCCCCAAAAGTCACTGAATTGGTTCCTCAAAAAGAGCAGTTCTCACCCACAATATTCAGACAGACATAGCTATAAGAACCTGTTGCAATTAATCTATTATTACAGTAGAGTTACTGGTTAGTTAATATAGTACTGGTTTTCAAATTTTGTCTTCAACACTTAGAAAACGGTAGATCAACTTGGGGACATACAGACAGAACGACTGGAACAACAGACACTAGAGACTTGAAAAGGAGGAAGGAAGGGAGGCAGTCAAGGGCTGAAAAACTTCCTACTGGGTACTATGTTCACTGCCCAGGTGATGGGATCAATAGAAGTCCAAAGCTCAGCATCATATAATATATCCTTGTAATAAACCTGCACATGTACGCAAATGTACCTCCTAAATCTAAAATTTTTTTTAAAAAAAGGAGAGGTCAATCTTATCGCTAAAGCATCCCTATGGAAGTTTCAGTCAGCCTGGAACTGTGCACACCCCCAACTGTACCAGGAGAAGCAAACAATGCATATACACAGTCTGCCCTGTATGTTTGCATCAGAAGGGGTCTTAGAAACCAATGAGTCCAACCTGCTCCACCTGAAAATAACAAACCCACTCTCTAGCTAACAAACATGTTAGGTTTGAATCAGTCACAGTCTTATTGACATGCATCAAAACATACATGAAGTCTGTGCCGGGCGCGGTGGCTCAAGCCTGTAATCCCAGCACTTTGGGAGGCCGAGGCGGGTGGATCACGAGGTCAAGAGATCAAGACCAACCTGGTCAACATGGTGAAACCCCGTCTCTACTAAAAATACAAAAAATTAGCTGGGCATGGTGATGCGTGCCTGTAATCCCAGCTACTCGGGAGGCTGAGGCAGGAGATTTGCCTGAACCCAGGAGGCGGAGGTTGCGGTGAGCCGAGATCATGCCATTGCACTCCAGCCTGGGTAACAAGAGCGAAACTCCATCTCAAGAAAAAAAAAAACAAAAACATACATGAAGTCAAACAAGAGGAAACAGAGGGAGATAGTCAAGGAAGGATGGGAGGAAATAAGGTAACACCTCCTCCAACCAAGCTGGATAATTAGCTCAGATAGATGCCTTTAAAAACTCTTTCGTTGTTCATCATAGAAATGTGAAAATGTATGAAAGCAAAAAGAAAAAACAAATGCCCAATACTATCAACAGGTAACAACTATTGTTAACAATTTGGTTCTTTTTCCTTTAAATTGTTTTTCTGGCCAGGCACAATGGCTCATGCCTGTAATCCCAGCACTCTGAGAGGCCGAAGCGGGCAGATGACTTGAGGTCAGAAGTTTGAGACCAGCCTGGCCGAATCAATGAAACCCTATCACTACTAAGAAATTCAGAAAATTAGCTGGGCATTGTGGCAGGCACCTGTAATCCTAGCTACTTGGAGGCTGAGGCAGGAGAATCACTTGAACCTGGGAGGCAGAGGCTGCAGTAAGCCAAGACTGTACCATTGCACTCCAGCCTGGATAACAGGGACTCCATCTCAAAAAAAAATCATTTTTCATTAAATTGGTTTCTCCTTTCTTCATGAAATGCTTTGATATAAGTACTTCCCCATATTCTTTAACATGGCTCAGAAGTATGATTTTATGGCCGGGCGCGGTGGCTCACGCCTAAAATCCCAGCACTTTGGGAGGCTGAGGCGGGTGGATCACAAGGTCACAAGATCGAGACCATCCTGGTCAACATGGTAAAACCCCGTCTCTACTAAAAATACAAATATTAGCTGGGCATGGTGGTGCACGCCTGTAATCCAAGGTACTCGGAAGGCTGAGGCAGGAGAATTGCCTGAACCCAGGAGGCGGAGGTTGCGGTGAGCCGAGATCGCGCCATTACACTCCAGCCTGGGTAACAAGAGTGAAACTCCGTCTCAAAAAAAAAAAAAAAAGTATGATTTTATAATATCTATATTTAAAGTTTATCAAATGGATGGACCATAACTTATTTTAAATTTCTCCCATTGTTGCATATTTAGATCATCCCTTTATTTTTTATAACATTAAAAGTTGAAAATAATATTGTGGAAGCTTATAAACCTACTTAAATATAATATTGTCTATCAGTCATTTGAGCGAGTAGCTCTCCAAAACATAATGCCTGGGGCACTGTAGGTCAAGGAAGAGTATGAGTTAGTGACCACAGGAAGAAGCATACTGCTTAGGTGTAGGCATGGGGGCACTGGAACCATGTCATCATCCCCAGCTTACTAGATAATTAGCCATCTGTGTCCTTGAACTTCTCTACTAAAAGCAGATCAGATGGTAGAGTCAATCAATATCACAACCAGGGCCCAAGGGCAATGGTGGCACAAGACTGAGCCCTGAATGCTTCCTCTGCAATAACCAACAAATAAAAAGTATTTTGGCTTGACCGCTATTATTAAACTTGTGTCAGCTTGGGCAACATGGCAAGATCTCCTCTCTACAAAAAATTTACAAAATTAGCCGTGTATACTGGCATGCACCTGTAGTTCCAGCTACACAGGAGGCTGAGGTGGGAGAAAAACTTCAGCCTGGGAAGGTAGAGTCTACAGTGAGCTGTGATCACGCCACTACCCTCCAGCCTGGGCAACAGAGTGAGATCCAATCTCAAAAAAAAAAAAAAAAAAAAAAAATCATGTAGGAGAAAGGATGGTAAACAGCTGCGGCAGATGTTTTGTGTATAGCATTTAGTGAATTTGTGGGATATTCCTTCTGAAATAGAAGGTCAACGAATTGGTCTTTCTACCATGGGCATCTGGAGGAGGGTTCTCTTCCATGTGTTTTTTTCTGCTGGGCACAATAAGCAGAACGTCCTAACAAACGGAGATGGATGCCAGCCAGCCAACAGCAATAGCATGCTTCCAAAAGTAGCCTGGGGGCTGTGAAACCTCTAGAATCTGTATTAGTAGAACCCAAATACACCTCCCTTAGTTTAACTGACAATCAGAAAATCAAAACATATTAATAATCTAGTTCATACCATTTATAATGTTGGAAAGCTTCCCTCCTAGAATAAACTGACTGCCTTTAAGCAAGCCAGAGGAAGAGGAATATAATTAACTGGCGGGGAAAAGTTTCAATTGCCTTCTTGAGTTACACACACACACACACACACACACACACACACACACACACACACACACAAAAGCTCTAGTTCAGATCTGTTTCCAAATTAAAGATCTGAGGTGAAAGGAACATATTTGTGTTTGCCTAATATAAGCCATATAAAATACAGTAAAATTAAGTCTGAGCCAGTCAATGTTATAAAACAATGTCATTCTTTTATGGCCGGGAGCGGTGGCTCACATCTGTAATCCCAGCACTTTGGGAGGATGAGGTGGGCGGATGACTTGAGGTCAGGAGTTCGAGACCAGCATGGCCAATCTGGTGGGGCCCAGTCTCTATTAAAAATACAAAAAATTTGGCCAGGTGTGGTGGTGAGCACCTGTAATCACGGTTAGTCGGGAGGCTGAGGCAGGAGAATCACTTGAAGCCAGGAGCTGAGATCATGCTAGCCTGGGTGACAGAGCGAGACTCCATCTCAAAAAGTTATTATTTTAAATAAAATGAGAAAAGGAACATTCCTAATTAAACTCTGTGTCTAACACTGAGTCTATGGATTTTTTTGAAAGAGCTTACTTTTCAAATCTAACTTTCCCAGAGTTAAATGGGGATAATTCATATTCTAAGTGCAGAAAAATGAACAGAAAAACGAAACAAGCACAAAGTAGTAAAGACAACTTTCTCATCCCTCTCCTGAAATGTGTATCTGGTTTGACAAATAGAGATTTGCATGAACAAGCAAAAACTCTTTTTTTTGTGTGTTTATGCCAAAAGAACTTTGGATATGCAAACAGAAAAGGACAAGGATCAAAGAAGTGCCTTTTGACACTACTAGAAGAATTAAGTTACCGGTCAATTTGTCACATGTGGAAAGTAATCACTGTCACCCCTTATTCAGAACACTGGAAAGAACTGAAGTCGAGGCTTCAACAAAATAACACACAGTGGCCAAAAAACCCATGTAAAACAAATACCAAACTGTCATTAGTCATAGTATGTGATCACAAACAATCCCTACAGGCCCATATGGGAGTATTCGTTTTTCAAGAGTATGTCAAGTTCACTGGAAAGTGTTGGTAAGGATATAGCATGCACACTTACCTTACCAGTGCATCTGGTTTGCTTAGCTGGTTATTAGGAATACAGTTTTCCATTAAGTCCTTGTGTGTACTTGGGCTCTTGCTAGTGCATTTCTGCTTCTTCTCGTTTTTACTAGATGAGGAAGGAATGCTCCCATTTGTGGCGCTATGACTTCGAGGTGAGGAGTTCACAACTCCACTGGCATTTTTGTAATTTTTTGAAGAAGCAGTGCATGAGTCCTCTTTCAAGAGATTTTCTGTACTTCCCACAAGATCATTATTTAATCTTTTACTATTGATATGGTTTTCCATATACTCAATTTCTTGTATTTTAGAGTCTACAGGTTGTAGAATATTGTTATTGTTTATTCCAAGGTTGTGTTTTTTGGCATCCTTGTCCTTTTCTTTCCCTTTTTCCCGGTATTCTATCTCTGGCAAAGTTGGGGAAAGTTTTTTGTTGGCAGGGATACCTCCATTGTGGTGTATAAGGATCGAAGAATCCATATCAGGTAATCCTTTGGCTGCTACAATACCAAAAACAAACCAACAAACAAAAAGCCCACACCGGAATATTTAGTTTTTTAACAACACAGATTAATTCAACAAACTTATCTACCCTTAAAAAATTCACTACATTAGTTTGCACACTCATTTAGAAGCAGTAACCCCAGCACATTAAGCTAGTCAAGAAGCAAATCCTCATAGTTTACCAGAATATGTAGGGAAAAAAGAAAATCCAAATACATTTGAGCAACTCCACATTTAGAAAATCAACATCATTTACGAAAATCAAGCCATTAAAAGTTGAGTCTTGAAAATAAGATCAGGGTTTTATAATTAGGTCACACTGTGTGTATCAGTCAAATCAAACTCGTCTATCACTGCGGTGAGAGGACAAAGGCAGATCCTAACAAGTCATATTTTTTTAAATGCCTGGAGTAGGCAAACTGCTAATAACTTTACTGAAAAGAAAGAGGTTAAATGAAACAAAAGAAGAGGAATAATTTTAGGATACTGGACATCTATCCTTTTTCTTGACTCTAGTGTTAAGGTAATAAGGAAGCCTGTATCATTTACCAGACAACTCGTAAATAATTTTGTGTATCAGATCTACATATTCCAACTTATTAAAGTCTACTTGAAGAGATATTTTTGTACCACATCAGACAAAAAGACAATTTTGACACATATTAAATAAAAACATGACCTCAAACTTTCAACTCCCAAACCAATGGAAATTGGTTACTGCCAATTATCTATTTCTACTGGTCAAATGCCCAAGAGAGAGATTCCATTAGAAATGGTTCAATTTAAAATCCATATTACATTACATGAAGCATTTAGAATAGGACCTATCCATCTTTGCTCTATTCAGAAGATATCTGGCTTCTAAAGTTCAATTCTACATGTTTACATCTCTATTGTGCTTATACTTTGGTTTTTTGGCTTGCTTGCTTCAATTACCAATTCACATAGTTCCATACTATTTTGTTGCTGAGAATATGTATTTTAAGATATGTATAACGGGCTGGGCATAGTGGCTCATGACTATAATCCCTGCACTTTAGGAGGCAGAGGTGGAAAGATTGCTTGACATCAGGAGTTAGAGACAAGCCTGAACAACACAGTGAGACCTCAACTCTACAAAAAAAAAAATTTTTTAAACTAGCCAGATATGGTGGCATGTGCCTATGGTAGCAGCTGCTCAGGAGGTGGAGGAGGGAGGATTACTTTGTTCCCAGGAGTTTGAAGCTGCAGTGAGCCATAACTGTATCACTGCACTCCAGTTTGGATAACTGAGTGAGATCCTCCCTGTCTCAAAAAAACTAAATTAAAAAACAATTTTAAATAAAAAATGTATCAGAATTAAAATATTTAAAAAGATATAAAAATAAACATATTTAAACACAGAGTCATCAGACAGTATGTAAACAACTTCATTCACAATCTGTACTTCATTGACCAAACAATGACCCTCAAGAAGAACACCATTAAATAGAAAAAAACAAAATCCTAGCTACTTTTCTAGAAAAGAAAATTCTACAAGAGACAAAATAATGACTAGTCTATTGAGCCAACAGCTTCAGGGTAAAGACCTACCTTCCTCCGCCTCTTTTTCTTGCTTTTGCAGCATCTGTTGCTCTGGAGGGAGGGCTTGTTGAAGAAGTTGCATGTAAAACTCGTTCTCTTTTTGTACTTCTTTTTGCTTCCTTAACCGCATTTTGTAGCTTACGTAACTTTTGAAGCCAAAGCCCAAAGTTACCACAGGGTACCCAATACTAGAAAGAAGACAATCCAGCCAGTAATTGCAGGTTTAAAATGAACCACATATGCATCAAGCACATGAGGATACCTATGACTTAAAATTTAAAAATAAATTCTAATTGATGGTAGCTGAGAATACACACAAATGTAATATCTATTGTGTTCATAAACACTCTGTCATATATAAATTCTGTCATACATAAATTCAAGAATCATTTAAATAAGTATTGGATATGATCAGTGCCAACATCTGGTTTGTATCATCAAATTAAACCATCTGTACTTAGAACGCTAATCTCTGTTAATAGAAAGTTGAATATTTTCATTGAACTCATCAGCTTGCCTAACATCATTTCAAAGTCTCTGCAAACGCTGTCAAGCCTATGTAAGCTTCATTAACATGAAAATAATCAATTTATAATTAGTCTAAATGTGGTCTGACTACAAACTTACAGTGACAGGTTTTATTGACCATGTTCATTTAATTTACTTGTTTGTAAAAAGACTAAAAATACTGGAAAAAGTATTTTTTTATTCTGCCATAAATACTCTTAAAAATTGGTTTGTTTAGGTGAAACACACATTCGGTGATAAGTTCCACAATAGATATAAGTAAGAATCAAGCTCATTTTTCAAAAACGTTTCATGGTTAAGATTAAATGAATAACATGTTAACATGTTATAAAGAAAAACAACATTCCTTCAAAAAATTTTTTTTTTTTTTGAGACGGAGTTTCGCTCTTGTTACCCAGGCTGGAGTGCAATGGCGTGATCTCGGCTCACCGCAACCTCCGCCTCCTGGGTTCAGGCAATTCTCCTGCCTCAGCCTCCCGAGTAGCTGGGACTACAGGCACGCGCCGCCATGCCCAGCTAATTTTTTGCACCTTTAGTAGAGACAGGGTTTCACCATGCTGACCAGGATGGTCTTGATCTCTTGACCTCGTGCTCCACCCGCCTCGGCCTCCCAAAGTGCTGGGATTACAGGCTTGAGCCACCACGCCCGGCCCTCAAAAATTATTAATAATATTCTCTTACTTTTATAAATAGGCTAAGGAAATTCTAAATTATTTTAAGCTTCATGAAACAGCCATATATTTCATCAAGACCTTTTGGAATCATTTTCTGATTATAACAAAAATAGCTAACATTCATCAAACTCCTATGTGCTTGGCATTAAGTTGAATACATGTATCACTTCAGTTCCTTTTTCCCATGACCCAAGGAGACAGTAAGAAAACCATGGCTTAGAGGCAGTGACACACCCAAGGCAACACAGCTGTCAGGGGACAGAGCTGGGATTCACTCATCTGCCTGAAAAGGGGGCTCATGTGCTCTCCAACCATGCTGTACTGCTTTCTGAGTCCATGTAACACTTCTAAGAATAAATTTACAGTTGAACTCAACATTCTACAGTGAAATGAATTATAGATAAATAATATATATAATACTAGCTGGGTGTGGTGGCTCATGCCTATAATCCCAGCACATTGGGAGGCCGAGGCAGGTAGATCACTTGATGTCAGGAGTTCAAGACTAGCCTGGTCAATATGATGAAACCCCATCTCTAATAAAAACACAAAAATTAGCCAGGTGTGGTGGCACAAGCCTGTAATCACAGCTACTCAGGAGGCTGAGGCAGGAAAATCGCTTGAAGCTGGGAGGCAGAGGTTAAATAACCAAGACTGTGCCACTGCATTCCAGCCTGGGCAACAGGGCAAGACATCGTCTCAATAAAAAAAAATACATATATATATATATATATATAAAATACATATATATATGTATATATATATACATATATATACAAAATACATGTATATATATATATATATGTATATACACACACACATATACATATATATCTGCACACACACACATATGTAATACTTACCAGTGAGCAGCAAATGGACGACAAAGGTCTACATGAAAGTTTTTGAGATCTTTAAATCTAATGGCTGCTTCAATATAAACAAAGAGGATCCAGAGAGAGACTGTAGGCAAACACACTCCCCTTTCTGTGGGAAAGCAGCAGAGAGACAAGTATGAATGATACATTAACTAACAGATGGGTTGTTTGGGAGACTAATTCACTAATGAAACATTACTTTCATTAAGACCTTCACCTAAACTAAATTAAAAAGCAAATTGATCCAAACTGAAAGCTTTTATATACCAATGATTCCACAGAATCACTAACAAAAATACAAGATAAACATCCTTTCAGAAAATATTTACAATATATGTAAAACAAAGGATTCACAGCCCTGACATACAAAAAGCTCCTACAGATCAATAAAAAGTCAACTGAAGAAAATTTACAAGTCACAAAAGAAGAAACCTAGATGGCTAAAAAAACATAGAAAAAGATATTCAACTTAACTACTGATTAGAGAAATACAAATTAAGCCAATCAGATACCATTTCTTAACTATTAGATAGGCAAAATTTTTAAAGACAGATAATAGCGTAGGGAGGGTATGGGGAAAGATTCATTTTTATACTTGGCAATAATAGAAATTGGGGCAACTATTTTAGATGGCAATTTGGTGGTATATTTAAATTTAAATACTTGTACCTTTCTTTTACTCAGTAATTCCACTTCTAAGAATCTACCCTATAGAAACATAAAAGAGCCTTGAGATAACTATAAAAATATTCACTGTAATATTACTTGCAATAACAAAAATTTAGAATTTAAATGTCAACAGGAAAACGTTTATGATAAATCTATGTAATGAAATATGCTGAAGGTTTCCTAAAGAATGAGGAAGATCTGCACTGTCATTGAATGACATATAAAAAAATAAAATCCTTAAGTAAGAACAAGTTTTAGGACAAAGAAATGTTCCTGACAACTTAAGTACTATTCAAAAATTTTTTTCTAAACCACAAACTCATATTCCTTTTGTAATTAAGAACAATTTTCAAGGGAGGAAAAAGCAACATGCAACACAAGAAGATGCAAATAAAAGCAAATGTCCACTGGCTTTTAGAATCAAAATCTGCAGGCTAGGTCCATCTATATTAGGACATGACTAACAACAGGATATTTATGGATGTGGACTACATGGCAGGAGGGGGGAAAATCAGTGACCTGAAGGCTTTTTGCTAAGGATCTTTGGGATGAAACTAAAGAAATATCCTAGTATCTTGAAACTAGGAAGATCATTTTGTCTCACTTCCTCATTCTGTTGAAGAAGAGTAAACCCCAGAGTTTAAACAAGCTGGGCCCAAGTTCACAGAGACAGTACTGAATCTGCAAGGAGAACCTCCCCTACTCCTAGTACCTGAGTGAAGTTGACAATGGATCCTCTGTGAAGGCAGCTAATGGCCTCAACCATTCCTATGAATTTAATATACCAAAAATAGTAGGTATTTTCTTTATTTCTTTCTTTTTTTTTTTTTTTCTGAGACAGAGTCTCGCTAGGTTGCCCAGGCTGGCACAATCTTGGCTCACTGCAACCTCCACCTCCCAGGTTCAAGCAACTTTCCTGACTCAGCCTCCTGTGCAGCTGGAATTACAGGTACACGCGACCATGCCTGGCTAATTTTTGTGTTTTTAGTAGAGATGGAGTTTCGCCACTTTGGTCAGGTTAGTTTTGAACTCCTGGCCTCAAATGATCCACCCACCTTGGCCTTCCAAAGTGCTGGGATTGCAGGTGTGAGCCACTGTGCCCAGCCAAAAAATAGGTATTTTCACAATGTAGGAGGAAAAACAGCAACCCACAGGACAATGCATTTTCAAAACCATTTCAAATGCATTTTCAAATATTTACCACCCCTATTCTCTATATTAATTTATAAAGTTATTATAAACATAAGTACATAACAGAAAAATCAGACAAAATATCTGTATATTTTCATCTATGAAATAAAACCACATTGAAAGAATTTTTGAACAAGTATAATAATCAGATTGTACATACGGCTTTGTATTCTGTTTCTTTTTCCCCTCTTAATCACCAGGGAAAAAAGCTTATGCTATAATATTATTCTTTGTAACCATATATAATTTTATCAACCATTCCTACTACTGTCGGGAAATAATTTAAAATTTTAACAACCGAAAGAAAAACTACCCCAAGTTATAGAAATTACACTCATATTTGTTGGCCCAATAAGGGCAGTTTTTTGTTTTGTTTGTTTAAGCATGATCCCAAATTAAAAAATATTTCACAACTTAGCTATTCTAACATACATTTCTGAGCCTAGGGCTAAAGAGGGGCCAGTAGCCTTTTATGACATTAGCTACATTGCTGCCCTGTGGGTCACCCTCTGAACTAGTTCCCAACAGGTTCTATTAATAGTTATATGGGCCAGAAGCAGTGGCTCTCAACTGTAATCCCAGCACTTGGGAGGCCGAGGCAGGTAGATCACCTGAGGTCGGGAGTTTGAGATCAGCCTGACCAACATGGAGAAACCCCATCTCTACTAAAAATACAAAATTAGCCAGGCATGATGGCACATGCCTGTAATCTCAGCTACTCCGGAGGCTGAGGCAGGAGAATCACTTGAACCTGCAAGGCGGAGGTTGCAGTAAGCTGAGATCACGCCACTGCGCTCCAACCTGGGTAACAAGAGCGAAACTCCATCCCCCTAAGAAAAATAGTTATATGGTTAGTTTTTTCTCCACTACTAAGATATTACTAAAGAAATTTAAGAAATGGCCACAGCTCATCAGAATCACAGAATACTTGAGGTGGAATGTTCTTTAGACATTACTTAGATTAACATGAGGAAGAACTTTATTTGATAGGTGCCTAAAATGGAGTAACCTTCCTAAGCTGAGACCTAGGGAGAGTGACAAGTGTAAAAGGCAGGTCACTCGAAACTGAGGCCCAACATAAGGAAATACAAATTAAAAACTGGTGGGAAGAAAAATCACTTTAATTAGAGGAAAGTAGACTAAAGAACCTTCATAGTAGCTTATAAATCAAGTCAGATATGAAAGAGCGTGAAACATGGTGAAAATCACACTCACAGCAGATACTTTAAAAAACACAGCTCAATTGTCTTCTACATGGGCCAACATCATCACCTTAGCAGCTTTGAGAAGAGGATGAATGTTGGTCCAAAGAGCTTTTATTATTTGGTGTTCCCTTCCTGGCCAAAATCCTACAGGTTGTAGCTAGGCCCAAGAATCAAGTTTCACGCAGCTTTGCAGACAAGTTTGACTCTGAGACCCAATCCTCAAATCCAAGTTCTGGCTTTCACAGTGGGTTGAGGCTGTCAAAATATCTCATCTGATTTTAGTTTGAAGTAACGGAAGTATAGCTCTAAGAAGCAGGGAGCTCTACTCTAGTCAGAACACACCTGCAATAGTACAGAGAACCACTGAGAAGTAGGCAGTCTAAGAGGGAGGTTGAAAGTGATTAAAATATATAAGGAAAAGCTGGTGAAACCAGAGATATTCTTGCCTACACAAAAGACTGAAGAGGTTATGATAGCGTCTTTAAATCTGTAAAGAAATGTTAACGTGGAAGGGAGACTACATTCATTCAGTGTGGCTCTAATGCAGAGGTTCAATGTTTGTGATTGAGGGGATGGTCTGGTAGGCCCCCTGATATTTTTTTGTTTTGCTTTTGTTTTGTTTGAGACGGGAGTCTTACTCTGTCATCCAGTGCAGTGGTTCAATCTCAGCTCACTACAGCCTCTGCCTCCCTGGTTCAAGCGATTCTCCAGCCTCAGCCTCCTGAGTAGTTGGGATTACAGGCATAAGCCACCACAACTGGCTAATTTTTTTATTTTTAGTAGAGACAGGGTTTCACCATGTTAGCCAGGTTAGTCTTGAACTCCTGACCTCAGATGATTTGCCTGCGTTGGCCTCCCAAAGTGCTGGGATTATAGGCATGAGCAACCGTGCCTGGCTCCCTTGACATTTTAAGGAAAAGTTGTATACATTCCCTTATGTTTTTCTAGGGAAAACCTCTTTAGATCCTCTAAGAAATCAGCAAGCTGTGTCTTAGTCCAGATACTTAGGAGGCTGAGGTAGGAAGATCATTTGAGCCCAGGAGTTTAAGTCCAGCCTGGGCAACATAGCAAGATCTCATCTTAAAAAAAAAAAAAAAAAGAAAGAGAGATTTTTCAAAAAGAAATCAACAAGCCCAAAAACAGTTAAGACATACTGGGTCAAAGCGTAAGGAGGAAAATTCTGGCTTAATATGAGGAAGAACTTTATTTGATAGCTGCCCAAAAATAGAGTAGGGGTACCAGGAACGGTAGGTAAGTTCCTTGTCAGTGTAGGTTTCCCATCAGATGTAAAACCACCATGTGCTGTGGGGATTCTCATGCCAAATTCATCTAAATGACATTTCTTTCAATGCTGAAATTCCATGAACATTTTTTTTCCTTTTTTGGCACATGGCTATTTTCAAATATACTTAAATAGAAACCACTCCAACTTTTCTTTAAAAAAAAAAAAAAAGGTATATTCGGAGTGACAGCTGGTACCTGCAATGCCTGTAACTGAAATATCAAATCATAATGGCTCAAAGTTTTGATTTAAATAATGAAAAAAGATATCTTTTTTGAAGGTATATTATAATCTATTAAGAAAACTTTAAAATGTCCACATTAAATTCAACTCTAAATAATGTATTGAAAGAAATAACCATATTAAAAAATCTGAATATAAGATTTCTATCCATCTAAGAAATCATTAACACTTACCTGTGTGCCATACGTACTGAACCCATACATATGTGCTAGCAGCAAAAAAAAGCCATTGTATGGGGATGAACAGCAGGCATATTATATTTGACGTGAATGCTACACAAACAAAAAATACTGAGAAGGCCTAAAGGGAAAAACAAAACAAAATAAAAGACATCTTAGAACTTGTTATTTTCAACCACACATTGTGAAACATGTTGGACACAATTACTGAATCTGCTAAGAGATAACTTGGTAACTATAGAGCAAGTTCACAAAAAGAAATTTTAAACATATAAAATCAACCATATAAAAAGGGTGGTTACTTTAACATTAAAGAGTACTACTACCTATGATCCTCAAATAATGAAAAAGAACTGGACCAGAATGAACTGAGGCGGAAGCACAGTGAGTTCATTTGGATTCCAAATACATGTGGGTTACCTGAAAGAACTAGAATTTTTTTTTTTTTTTTTTTTTTGAGACGAAGTCTCTCTCACTCTGTTGCCCAGGCTGGAGTGCAGTGGTGCCATTTCAGCTCGCTGCAACCTCCACCTCCTGGGTTCAAGTGATTCTCATGCCTTGGCCTCCCGACTACCTGGGACTACAGGCACATGCTACCATGCCTGGTTAATTTTTTGTATTTTTAGTAGAGACAGGGTTTCATTGTGTTAGCCAGGCTGGTCTCAAACTCCTGATTTCAAGTGATCCGCCCTCCTTGGCCTCCCAAAGTTCTGGAATTACAGGCATGAGTCACTGCACCCAGCCCTAAAAGAACTAGAATTTTAACACAGAAAAGCCTCCTCTCTCTTCACAAACCATTCCTAAAGAGCTTCATTCTTAAAAGACAGGCTTTCTGAAGCACAGATGAACCATAATATTAGTAAGAAATATACTGACACTATTATTAGGTTGGTGCAAAAGTAATTGGACCAACCTAATAATAATTTTAATAATGCAGCTTTCCTCTGAACATCACTATCACCAACAGAACATGAGCCAAAAGCATCTTTTTAAAGCATGGATTTGCTCTGACCAAAGCACCAGGCCTGGGTGGGAGAGTTATAGTTTTAAAATGTAGCTGTGGAACACGACAGAATTAACACATTCATCAAAGGAACAAGCCCAGGCCTATGCTTGCTCCAATCTAGCAGTTGTCTAAACGTCGTTTGGAATTTATGGGGTGTCTTTGAGATCCCTCCAAAGGGCTCTTCAAGGTTGAAACTATTTTCATAATAATACTGAGATGTTATCTGCCTTTAGTACACTCCTTTACTCATGCATATGGTATAATTTTCTATAAGTCACATGACATATGATACAGTAGCAGAATGACTTCAGAAGCAGATATGAGAATCTAGCTGTCTTCCATTGAGCCAGGTATTAAAGAGATTTATAAAAATGGAGCCACTCTTCTATATCCTGTTTGTTTTAGAAAATATACAGCTATTTTTCACTTAAAAATGTAATTTCTATTAATGTGTAATGGGCTTATTATTATGTTTAACTGAGTTAATATGTATGTATTTTAAATTTTTCTTAGTTTTAATTTCTAATACAGTAAAACTGGATAGATATAAGCCACATTAACAAAAGCTCTCTGGTGTCCTGAATAGTTTTTAAGAGTGAAAAGGGGCCCTGAGACCAAAACGTTTGAAACACTACTCTAACTTGAATCCAGTCACTAAACCTAGCAACAGCAGATCCGGAAACACTTCAAAGCAGGACTGAGCAATTTTTTTTTTTTTTTCCTAGATAGGAACGACCGTTATTGGCTGCAATGGGAAATGGAAGAGGAGGGGATATAGAATCCCCAGACTAGGTTGCTACCCTCCAAAACCCCGAGTAATTACTGCTTCCTCCACTATTCTGTTTCACTGGAATCAGAGAGGAGGAGAAAATGTAATGATTTGATCAACAGGTTTAGACAAAATAGTTTAGAGGACAATTTCAGTTAACACACCCTATTAACTAATCCTAACATAGTCACCTGAGTATTGCTAATAACATCTACTTTAAACAGCTAAACGATCCCCACACATGGAAAACGTATTAGTAAACATACCAGTCCCTGGTATCTGAAGGAATCATAGACGCTTCTGATGAAAAGCCAGAATGGCCACAGGTATTCAAATCTGAACTCCAGGACAAAATCTGCTAGGAGGACAAGTGCCCATACTACCAGGAATTTCAGGTATAAAAATGTACTGCAAAATATAAAAATAAAGAATTAATTTAAGGTCATTTGTGAAGGACTAGAAATAGAAAATTCAGTTTCTGTTTAAAAAAACAAACAAACAAAAAAACCCACCTCCATGTATCATGAAAACAACAGAGATGAAGCACAAAAAAAGAGATGCTGCCATGGCCCGTCTAAATTTTAAATGCTCTGGTGTTCATTCTGAGACCCAAAACTATCAAGATAAGATGATAGCCAAAAATGCTTAATTCCACTTAAGATGGGAAAAAAAAAGAAAACATTTAAATCCCACCACTATTTTTAAAATGTGCTAAGTGTCTGACTTAAAAATACTGCAACACTCTCAAAATTACAGCTTTCAAGCTGTTCTTCATTAGAAGAAAATGTCACAGTTGAAAGGCTTCAAATTTGCTGTTTCCCCACCCCTCTACATCTGTTTGAAGAGTCTTTGAAATTCTTGATGCACATCCTTACATGCTTAAAAGAATTTTTTTTCTTCCCTTTTTCCTCTTGCCTCTGTATATAGTATTCATCTGCATTAACCAAACAAAAACCAAATGACTTCCCCAAATAGAAACTAACTTAGGGAGCAGATGCTAATCACTACCAAGGGCTGTGAAAGCACAAAAATGTACATTAAAGAAAAAAATCCTTAAACATCTAAGCCATGCTCTAGCTGAGATCTAAGTGTGTGTTTCCAGTTCCCTCTGGACTTGTGTCAAACAGAAACACTCTGACAAGCCAGTTAGGACACATATGTAACCTCCGCAGCAGTCAAACAAGCTAAGGACACAGGAAAAAAAATTATTTTTCATATACTCTATAAGTCAATTTTTCAGTTCATTAGTTGCATAATGGACAATAGAAGCCTTTAGATTCTACTTATTAATAAGCCTCTATTTCTGTACTCCTAATTCTGCCAATTCTGGAGGTCAAATTTAGGTATCAAAAAAATATTTTGCACAATATACATATTGGAAATACCTAAAATTCACTTTTACTTGGGATAAAGCCTTGCATGGTATTTTGCAATACAAACATTCTAATACCGATGTGATCAAATTAGTCATTTGAAAAAACAACAAAATTGAAAATTTTAATAAATAATTTTGAAATATATTCCAATAAGATACAAAACACTTACATACTTGGAGGAAAAAAACAATAAGCAAGAACTTAGAGTAAAATTTTTAAAAAAGAGAGAATAAAAGTAAAAAGAAAACAGAAAAAAAAAAGCAGGATCTGGCATTGAGAATTTATTTTGTGCCCTTTGAAGCCACTCAGTTAAGAAATGCCAAGAACACAAACATTTGACTCTCAATGATACAGTATTCACTGTGACACAAAATTTGTCATCTAGGTTCGATTTCTAATATTTATCCTTAGAAATTCTTTACGTTTGATAAGTTCTACTGAGAGGTTTACTGTAAAATCAAAGAACCTGAAGCAAATCACAAAAGAACGCAATCTCTTTTTTGAGATGGTCTCTCACTGTCTCCCAGAATGGAGCGCAGTGGCACCATCATAGCTCACAGCAGCCTCAATCTCCTGGGCTCAAGCAATCCTGCCTCAGCTTCCCAAGTAGATGGTACTACAGGTGTGTCCCACCGTGTTTGGCTAATTTTTTTTATTTTTTATAGAGACAGTGGTCTCGCCATGTTACCCAAGCTCCTCAGTCTCAAACTCCTCAGCTCAAGTGATCCTCCTGTCTCACTCTTCCAAAGTATTGGGATTACAGGTATGTGCCTGCCAGAACATAGTCTCAAATCCTAAGTCCCACCTTTTAGTTTCATTTCACCAGAGTTCTGCTGGCCAGATGAAGATAGAGCCCTCATAATTCTCACTCATTAAATCCGTAACTGACCCAGTGGAGAGCAATGTACATTTTATTAGAAAGAATAACTGAGGGCCAGGCACAGTGGTTTACACCTGTAATCCCAATACTTTGGGAGGCCAAGTGGGTAGGGTCACCTGTGTCCAGGAGTTTAAGACCAACCAGCCTGGACAACATAGCAAGACCCCATCTGTAAAAAAAAATTTTTAAATTAGCCAAGTAGTGCATACTTGTAGTCCCAGCTACCTAGGAGGCTGAGGCAGGAGAATTGCTTGAACCTGGGAAGTCCATGCTGCAGTGAGCCATGACTGTGCCACTGCACTCCAGCCTGGGTGACAGGCAAGACCATGTCTCAAAACAAAAAACAAAAACAAACAAAAAACACAACTGACTCATGCAGGTATTTGAGAGCACAAATCTAGTTTGAAACTAGATTTCCAAGGTGCTTGCTTTAAAACTAGGAGGTTTTTTCCTTGTGTCCAGAACTGTTTCTACGTTTTGAAAAAAGGAACAGCCTCTCTGCCATGGTTTCAGAGTGTGTTTTTTTGGGTTTTTTTTGATGGCATAGCTAGAGCGGGCACAGTGGCTCATGCCTGTAATCCCAGCACTTTGGGAGGCCAAGGTGGGCAGAATGCTTGAGCTCAGGAGTTCACAGCCAGCCTCAGCAACATGGTAAATTCTCATCTCTACTAAAAAAATATAAAAAATTAGCCGTGTGTTGTGGTGTATGCCTGTAGTCCCAGCTATTTGGGAGGCTGAGACAAGAGAATTGCTTGAACCCAGGAGACAGAGGTTGCAGTAAGCCGAGATTATGCCACTGCACTCCAGCCTGGGCAACAAAGCGAGGCTCCATCTCAAAAAAAAAAAAAAAAAAAGGCATAGCTAGAAGCAGTGGCATGCACCTGCAATCCCAGCTATTTGGAAGGCTGAGGTAGGAGGATCATTTGAGCACTGAGTTCAAGTCCAGCCTGGTCAACAAAGTAAGACCACATCTCTTTTTTTTGTTTTTTTTTTTTTATTTTGAAACTGACCAGCCTGGAGTGCAGTGTCGCAACCTCGGCTCACTGCAACCTCCATCTCCTGGGTTCAAGTGATTCTCCTGCCTCAGTCTCCCGAGTAGCTAGGATTACAGGCACACACCACCATACCCGGCTAATTTTTGTATTATTTATTTATTTTTTTTTTAGTAGAGATGTGGTTTCACTATGTTGGCCAGACTGGTCTCAAAATCCTGACCTTAAGTGATTGGCCCACCTTGGCCTCCTAAAATGCTGGGATTACAGGCGTGAGCCACCATGCTGGGCCAAGACCCCATCTCTTAAAAAAAAAAAAAAAAAAAAAAGGCATGGAAATGTATTCATTCTCCTGATTAATCCATTTCCCCATGGAGTTATCTCTGGAATGTAGCTGAATGAGACATGAAGGGTACTCCATCAGGTCTGGGCCTTATGATTCCCAAAGTGGAGAAGAAAGAGTACTACCAACTGCTTTCTGCCCAAAATGTCCCCAAGGCATGGCAGGATCCCATTCGGATCACAAGATCCCAATTGGATCCTGCCATGGCAACTTTCCATTTCACTATTTAGATAGCATTATCCAAAGAATGGCAGCCTGTTGAATACATACTTTTTAATAATTCAATCATTTAAAACTAAGGCAGTTCAAAAATGATCATCTTTGTTAGTGACTATTTTTCAATTGCGTGACTTTAAGGCAGGGTTCCTTTTGATATATTTCTTTTCAAACAACTGCTTTCATACCTTTGATGTTCCTTGACACCCATTTCTTACTTAGTCACAGTTTAGAAGTACAGATATCTAAGGAAACTTGATCTTTTACAAACATATGCCATACCCTCATCTTTCCTCTGGCTCTTTCAGGCAGGCCTGCCTCTAAAATCAAGAGACAACCTAATTAACAAAGCTGACTTTCTCGAAGACTGATCTCAAATTCTACTGAGTCACTTTAGTCTTAAGAGTTTTTGGAAGTTTAAGATAGCTGCCTGAATTCAGTATTTACTTAGCCCTCTCCATCAGTAAATCATGTCTCTTACCCTTTTGTAGGTACATGAACAGAAGTTAAAAGACAAGTAATCTAAAATTACTGCTCATCAGAGTAAAAGCCCTATATCCTATCCTCCCTTTCATATTCTGAAGGTCATAAGATTTTTGGCAAATCTAAAGAGATGACATTACAAAGGATGAGAAAATTAGATAGGGATTTAAGCCATCATGGCATCCCAAAATATTTCTTTTTCATCCCATGAAGAAAATATGATTAAATATAAAATACTTTTATACACAGTTCATTATATGACTCATGGCTAATTTGATGTTACCTTGATTCTCTGATCCAAGTAAGTTTGCTAATAACTATAAAATACTGTATCTCGAACAAAATTTTAAAGCATAACTGCAACAAAATGGTATTTTCCAAAACAATATACTGAAACAAGGGCAAATGAATAACATAGTCTGATGGTCTTGTAAGCTTTTATTTTGAGTGTCAATGAAATTAAGAAAAGTCTTATGCAATTGTTAGGCTTAATAGTGGTGACTCTATCAAAGTCAATATTAACTGTAAGATTTTCCCCCCGATTCTACTCCTACCCTTTGTAAAAAAAAATTTACAACTATTTTTTACCTCAATCCATTTAGCAGTTCTCTCTATCCATGGATTAATCATCTATGATTAATAAGAAGCAGTACTGAACATTCTTCTTATTCCAAGTAAAGTGTACCTTTTTCTCCGGTATCTCTAGCTGCTTATCATCTAGATCATTTTCTGGAGCCCACACAATTACCACAAGCTAGCCATCAATCCTCAGTACCTGACCTTTTCCCTAGGCAGACTAATGGCCATTTAGTTCAGTTGGTCCTCACTACAGAAATGAGTCTGTGGTTCTGCTCGTAGCCACCCACTCAATCCCAGCTTTCCTGTCCTCTCAGTAATGGCAACTGTGAGTCGCTTTTAGCATTCAGGATGTGCTATGATACTTCCTACACCAAACTGCTTTATCTTCTCTGTTATCCAATTATCTCTCCCTACTAGACATCACCTCTAGAACATATGTCTAGCCCCTTATCTGGCTTGTACTCTACCTGAAGTCTCACACTGGCCACTTGTTAATTACAGTCTTGCTAATCAAAGTATTGGTCTCTGGTCGAGCAGCA